ACTTGTCTGGGGCCCCTTTGATAAGGGCACCACATGATCCTAATATCTAATAAAAGCGATAAGCCAAAGAGGCTAACTTTGAAAAAAAAAAAAAAAAAAAAAAAAAAAAAAGTGGTCTAATGTTTTTTTTGATTCCCGAATTACGCTATCGGGACAAGGTTGTAGCACGTAATGTGTAACTCTAGCCACTCTTTCCTGTCTTTTCGATCAGTTGACTTTTTGTCAACATACAGGATAAAAAGCATGATTTCCAAATCAAACAGTGGACATATAGATATACACAATATAATAGTAATCATATTATCATTCAAATAATGATAAATTTCTGCTTGCATCATCGATTATATATAGTTTTGATGTGATACTTCTACTTCGTAGATATTTGTACTTGATTGCATTGTTATTTAAGTGATGATAAAAATTTAATCATATCATCATTCATATGTGTTAGAATGATAACAAAAAATTGATTGCATTATTATATATATATGTTAGAATAATAAAAAATTGATTATGTTGTCATACATATACTATATGTTAGAGTGATAACAAAAAATTAATCATGTTGTCATGAGTAAGTAACAATCTAATGTAAGTAGAAAACAATATATATATATTGTTTTCTACTGTATATTATTATAATAAAACACATCTATGGTGGTTTTGCACTTATATATTACTTTATATTCTTTAAATTTTTCTTAGTTTTGTATACAAAATTTTTAACCCAAATTTTTTCATGTTAAAATTAATTTTTAGAGTTAAGATTAGGGTTTGAGAAGGGTTTTGGGAGGCATAAAACATTTTTACTTAACAGTTAGACATCTCACACCGATTAGTAAGCCAGTTTTTAAGATAATATGAGATCTTTTCTAGGAAAATAACTCTCAGAAGCTATGTTGATTTTGAATAAAATTAAATTTGCCAGCCATCTTGTTATCAATTTGAATAAACTTTTTTTTTCTACAAATAAAAAAAAATTCATTAAAATTGGATAACTAGATGGCTGGCAAATTTAATTTTATTTACAAAATCAACATAGCCTTAAGGGTCATTTTTCTAGAAAAGTTCCATACATATACATAGGTGTAAAACACCCATAGATGCGTTTGAGTAAAAGCCTTTTTTATTATATATTTAGTATAATCGCAATAGTATATACTATTATAGAACAAAAACGAAGTTCTTAATTAAAAAACAAACTGATTGATAATTTCGCTTTCGTTTTTTTAAAATTTTGGCCCGGACTGTCGATAAAATTCTTAAAATAAACAGGTTCAGGCCGGAAATTATATACTAATCACGTGATGGATTTTGTGATTTTGTATAAATTCTTCGTCCGAGTCAAAATTCCCTCGACAATAGCAACAATGCCAGTGTCCCCAGAAACCATCCGAGAAGAGCGTGCCGTGTCGAGCAAACTAAAGCTCCTTCGCGCCGCAAACGTTCTATCTTTCTTGCTTGTTTTTATTCCCAATGTTATTGCCCTTACCCGTGATCCTTATTTCCATAAAAAACATATGACATACTTTACACCTTTCCCGATTTTTGTTGGAATCTTTTGGATTTTGCTTAGTGCTTTATTTTTTATTTTTGTATTTTGGGTACAGTTTAGTGACTATTCTAATATGAAGCGACTTGTGACCCAAGGAATAGGTGGCTTATTTGTTTTAAGCAATATACTAGTGTTCGGCTGGCTAGTGTTCTGGGTACATTTCATAAAAGATCTATAATATTTTTCAACATGATAAGATTTAACCGACAAAATATATTTTTGACATTAGATGAGAGAAGGATTTATTATTTGCGAGGTTTTCATAATTCTTAACCTATTGGTCATATCCAGGATCCACCATAATCTTGTTGTTCAATTTCCACCTTTTTCGTTTCCTTCCTCTCAAGTCTCCAAGGTTGCTTATTTCGTACACACACCGTTCTCTATGTACCTAGGAGCTACCTTTTTAGACTTTTTTCATTATGGATTCGTTGCGTTTACCGCTAACAAAGAAACAAAAATAGTATTAGCAATTATTTCTGCTTGGCTTCTTGCAATTCTTGGTTTTGCTTGGTGTGTTACTGGCATTTTTAGTAGTGGAAGAAGAGATGGAGTCTTCAGCGCAACCATTGCCTGGTATGTATTCAGAAACAATAATTTTTAGATTATATAAACACATCACTGCATAACATTAACTGTTAACAGGTGTTTGATTTCTATTGCCGTACAACAACGTAACGAGAAATATTTATCGGTCCAATGCGCAATTCTCGCCATTGCTCAGCTTATAGCTATTATTACTGTTTGGATCAGATATGGTGGAAGGTTATCGGATTCACTCAGGTCTACACGCAATGCATCCAGAGAACAAAGTCCATTATTGGGAGAAGGTTGACTACATGGCCCCAATGAGCAAACTACAGGATGGTTCACTCAAATCTCTCTTCTTGTTGAAAATATTATATTTTTAAGTTAATGCTTTAATGCTTAAATTTAATGTATCGATACATAAAAAGCTTGGATAAATAACAAATAGCACAATATCAAATATTTAATTTTTGTTTTTCCATGCATGATGCAAATCAGGGTTTTGTCTATCTGTATATAATAATTAAACAAAGGGAATTCTATTTAAATGACGTAATAAACTGCTCTAAAGCCAATCAAAAAGCCTCAAAGTCAATGTAAACTTTAAGTTTCACCGTGAGTTGTACAACATTTACAAAATATTGTTAAATTAGGAAGCTGTAGAATCTTTGAGATACATCAGAGATAAGAAACACGAGTTTCTTTTTCTATTAACATCCCAATGGCCCAAGTTCCACTAGTACCCTGCAAGGTGAGCCGTGCGCTGGCTTTCTTTGCTTTATTTTAAATGCTCGAAGATTAATGCTTTTCCATTTAATATTAGTATAAAACAGGCAGAACTCTCGGGCAAGGCACTTATGCCATAGTCAAAGGTTAGTAAGGGCTCTTATTACTGTGGAATCAATGCATTATGCAAATGAGGTGCTATTTACCTCAGTGTTCGTCAATAGAAACTTCATCCAACTTTATAATAATATTAACATTTATATATAAATCGATTTGCATGGCTACTCATATCTAGAGGCCCAACATGTATGTATGCTATTCATTATTTACCGATTCGTCGTTTGTATCCTAAATAATTATTTACAAAATGACAATAGATTGAAACTGGGAAATTTTATGCCGTAAAAGTTATCAACAAAAAGTTAATGCAGGGAAGAGAACACATGGTTCGTAATGAGATTCAGGTTTTGAAAAAAATATCTGAGGGCCATAAAAATATTTTGACCTTGCGAGAATATTTTGAGACTCTAAATAATCGTAGGTTTAACATTTGCCATTTGAGGCAATGATCTTTTAATTTTATCTGTTAGTATTAATTTTTTTTATATTATTCGATCGTATAATGTCTCCTAACGTTTAAATAAATCTGTTTATATAAACAGTATATTTGGTGACAGATCTGGCGCTTGGAGGAGAATTATTTGATCGCATTTGTGCTAAAGGCAGTTATTATGAGCGCGATGCTGCTAATCTTATTAAAAGCATAACAGAAGCTGTTTCTTATCTTCATAGTAATGGAATTGTTCATCGCGGTAAATATTTTTTTTGTTTGTATATTGCTATCGTATTTAAGTAATATTCTTAGTTTGTTGATTTATTTTCGTCTAAATAATTATATTAGATCTTAAGGTAACAGATTTTTATCATAGATTTCTTTATTATGTATAATTTCATAAATATTAACTATTATATAACTTTATTAAGCCGGAAAATCTTCTCTTTACAACGGCTGACGAAAATTCCGATCTACTTATTGCCGACTTCGGACTTTCTCGAATTATTGATTCTGAAAAGTTCCATGTTCTTACCACAACATGCGGCACTCCTGGTTACATGGTAATGATATTATAATCGTATTTTGCCGACTAATGTTATAATTGACTGATAATTTTTTCTTGAATTATTTTTTATAGGCACCTGAAATTTTTAAAAAGTCAGGTCATGGAAAACCGGTCGATATGTGGGCTATTGGTGTGATTACGTACTTTTTATTATGCGGTTATCCGCCATTTGAACGAGAAGATAGCTATGAAGAAATGCAAGCTATCCTTCGAGCTGATTATAAATTCGAACCTCCAGAATATTGGGAAGGAATAACTGAGTGCGGTAGTATCAAATTTAATTATTAAGCCACTTACGTTATAATTAAATTCTAATGAATTGATTTATTATTTATTTTTTTTAACAGCTAAAGATTTTATTCGCAGTTTGTTGGTTATTAATCCGGACCAACGTCTTACTGCCGAACAGGCGCTTGAGCATCCATGGCTCAGAGAACCTCTACCGAGTCCGATCGGTGTACCGGGTGACTTCGATTTGTTGCATAGTGTTCGTACTAATTTTAATGCCCGTAAAACATTTAAGAAGGCTATCGACACAGTCAAAGCGATCAACCACCTTAGAACTCATTCGAGAAACCACAGCCTTGCTAATTTGTTAGAAACATCCAAAAAGGAAGCGGACGAAGATGTTGCTAATGTATTTTACGTCGAGTAGCAGTAGATTGCAATTCAATATTACTTTTGTTATAGTTTAAGTTTGTAGTAGTAGAAGATCTATTTTTTGTTTTGTAGTTTTGATTTTTATTTTTTTCGGGTTGTGCAATAATCATGATTTCGTATTGATCTAAGAGTGAAATTGTTTTATAAGAAAGTTAGTCCACTGTTTAATGTAATTATTAATCACAGTTACGTCATCTATATTTTTTGTATATGAAACATGACTTTGCCACCGATATATATAAGGATTAAACCTTTTTGATTAATGGAATAGACTTGTCGCTTGTATGTATATTGATTATAATAAAAACTGATTAACCGATTCCTGTCATAAGAATTATTTTAATCGGTAATTGTCGGATATCGTTCCTGTTATTTGTCATAACCGATATGATCTCCGAAAATTACTACTGCATGTAACGTAATGTCCTTACTATTACCACCAAACCGGGTATCAACTCTTGACCTTTTTATTTATTCATAATTACGATATGACACCAGATATGGCACCAAGTAGTAGCGAAGAAGATCCTCGGCTTAGAAAACTTACGCAAGAACTTTGTAGTCAACTTGCAGTCAATCGTGAACAAGTGAGGCGGTTACAGCAACAAGTGGATGAATTAAAAGTAAATATGCTCGGAAAATACGAATTATATATAAAATGCATTTTTACTTATGTGTTTCATTTGCTAAAAGAGTCGTGTTGAAAGATACGAGGGCTCTTTAAATCGTTCAAATTATAAAGGTATATGAATAAAACCTTTTATTCGTCCCAAGACTTTAGATATTTCCGTAGAATGATCTATTTATTTTATATCTATTTTTAAAGGTCCAACGTTTGAAGCTGGGACAGATATAGAGCGTCAGAATGCACAGTTAATTTATGAAAATCGACAATTAAATGAAGAAAATTCAGAACTATTATCCATAATTAAAGAATATGAAACAACATTGCAAATAGTTATGAAGAAATTTCGAATTCAATCTGTAAGATTTCTTTAATTGCGTTTTATTGTAATCCTTTTGATAGACTTTAATAGGACTTTTCATATTATCAAAAAAAAAAAGTGTGAAATACAACGAAGCAAATTAGACATGCAACGAGATTATGAAGCACTATTGGATGAGGAGCGAGTATGTATAATTTCTGAAATAAAATATTATTCATCATTTTTATTATTAATCATTGAAATTCATGCTCCATAAGGCAACGACATCACAAGTGTTATCAGAAAATGTCACCCTACAATCATATATTTCCAATATCAGTAGTTTAGTCAGGGAAGCTTATGATGCTCAAACTGATTTGGATACAGATATTCTGATAGAAAGTCTGAAAGTAGAAAATCAAGGATTGAAACAAATGCTAAATATTGCTAATATTGTTGATTCCGAAGCTGATTTACAAAACAGCTAATGTATTATGGTATTTGGCGGCCGTGTAAATATTTAGTTTCTGACATCATTGCATATGCAATACAAATATAATCGATAGAGGAAGCCGATTATGCTATGAAAATTTTGGGCAAATGTTTCTGTCCTTAATTTTGAGGGTTTTTTCTGAAAAGTAATAATATCGATAATTTAATTTGTAGTTTATCATATTTTTTAAATAAATTAATATAGACTTTATAAAGGCTTTGATATTATGTATTACAATAAGATATTAATAGAATACATTTCTTTTATATTAAAATCAATGAGGGAAGCAGAATGTGAAGAAAATATATGAGGCAAATAAAATGTTGGATAATTCCTTTATAATTTTTAGTTTTTGATTTAACTTACAGAGGTCAGTAAACCAGAAATTTAATCCAGGTTTATATTTAACTTTATAAATAATTTGCCAAAATTTAATTTTATTTTTTTATGTATCAGCATTAATAATTAAGTCAAAGTTTAAATTTTATCGATTGCGCTGATAAAACTGGCAGTTGAAGAATCTAATGGGATTTTATACGGATCGATTTCATAGACTACTTTCTTGTAATTGGTTAATTTTGTACAGTTGAATTTATATAATTCAAAAGGCTGGACTTTTTATTCTAGTGATTTTTCGAAGCTTACCAATTAAATTCGATAAAAAAAAGAAAGAATTTCGAATAATCTAAATTATTAAAAATAAATTTTATAAGTTTTATAAAATCTTACAAACAAGGTTTGAGTTTGGCCGAAAGTGAAAAATACTTTATAATTAATCATAATACAGAGATCTTGTAGAAAGTTCAAATGAGTATAAATTTAAACTAATTTTTTTAAAAGATTAAAAATATGAAGAATAGTTATATAAAAAATTATACAAATAAGGTTTAAAATAGTAATTATTATTAAATAATATTAATATATAATTTAAATACTTAATTAAAAAAATAATGGTTATCAAAAAAACTCTTCTCAATGATCTTTTAGTTAACAATAATAAAACTGATCTATAGTAAAACAATATAAAAAACAGCTAAGTAATGTTATTCTTAATTTTATTAAGGGTAGTTTGCTGTTGATAAAGTTTAAGTTAAATATGATATATCAAGAAGTGGGTGTTGTAATAAAATTTTTTTTTTTACTTTAGCAATCCTATCATTATTTTTTAAATTAGTAGCAATCCTTTAGTAAAAATTTAATTACCAACTATCAATTTAACTGCTTTTCACCTGTACAAATAAAGATTCTTTTAGCCTATTTCATTATTGCAGCTAATTTTATAAACCAAGATTAAGTATTAGAACCTTGTTTAGAAGTAATCTATCTGAGTGAATTTTTTTTTTTAAGATTTTCAACTTTTTAAAAAGATTAACTCCTAAATATCAACAGATAGTTTTTACTAATTTTGTTAGAATTACTGCTTTACAATAAAGTACTGCCAATTTGAAAATATTTTTTCATAAATAAAAAATAAGAAGCACAAATAAAATAAAAAAAGGTAAACAAAAACAAATACAAAAAAAATAATCTAATTATAAAAAAATTAAAAACTATTTTAATATCTATAAGAACTTGTTTACAGATAGAAAAACTTGCTAACCAAGTGAAAATCTATTTATATAATTATAGATATCTATATTTAGAGTATATCTGGCAAAAAAAATAACCTAATATATGCTTTAATCTATCTAAAAGCTAAAAATTATATGAATATAATTTCAAAATATTGTATATTTCTAATATTTATAAAATCAAATCAAATTTTGAATTTGAATTAAATATTTGAAATTATTTGATTAAAATTTTAATTAGTTTAATTGGTGATTTGCCAGTTAACCAGAGAAGATCTGCAAATTTTTATAAGTAAATTTTATTATTAAGCCAAATGTGGAGTGCACCAATCTAAAACTTTTTTTCTTATTAAGTAAATCACTCTTGGGCTCATAATGCAGTCAGGGATTTTACTAAATTTGGATACCAATTCTAGAATGTTCTACAGAAAATCTTTGAGCGATAATTGACTTACAATCATGTTTTTTAGCTGAGGTTTTCTGACTTTTTGTACTATTTGGTCGCAAGTAGTAATTATATATATGAAAAGTAAAGAATCTATAGACTCATAATTTATAATAATCCTAAATAATCCTTTGTTTTTGAAGAAATAGATAAGACCTGAAGAAATCTTTAAGATTTCATCTATTTATTTAAGATTTGTTTGGTTTTTACTTTTTTTTTATTTTTAGCTCAATAGTTGAGATGTTTTTGTAGTATTATATGTTTACTTGGATTTGTGTTTATAACTGTTATGTATTATAGTTTGGGCTTATTACTTTTATTAAAGTTGGTTTGTAGTTATTAAAAATGAATTACAAGTAGATTCAAGACAGAAGTTCTTTGTTTTGAATTTTTTTTTCTATACTTATTTTAATGGTTTTTTTTTTTCAGCATGTTCTGCTACTGTTTTATTAAGATGATAACCAAGTAAAATTACAAGAATTTAACTATAGTTAATCCTTCTTTAACCGCAGCAAGTGACTCACTCGGCTTAAAGCTCAGGTGTGACATCGCATAGTGGCTGTTTGCCTCCCTCTGGGCCTCTAACTTCCTAGAGACATGAATTCTTCGATCATTGGCCAGTGCTACATCAGCAAAAAATATATACGAAATATTGCGAAAGAATTTGTGGCGCCGAAATATTTTGAAATTATTGCAATCGACACAAAATATTTTGAAATAAATAATTATGAAAAATTTCGAAAATTATTTCGAAATATTGCGAAAGAATTTGCAATAAACTGCGAAGGGTTTAATTATATTAGCAT